CTGGAGAAGAGAGGAGAGGAGGGCAGGGAGTGAGACATGGAGGGAGGATGGACACGTAATGGCAGAGGGCAACGAGACGAAAGAGGCATATTGGGAGGCGGAGGGCGAAGAAATCTGTAGGAGAGGACGGACCGATGGACCACATGAGATGTAATGAACGACAGCCCGATGCACAGCAGGCGGTTCGTTCGGGGATCTCGAATCGCAAATTGCCCGCAACAGGGATAGAACCTGGAACCACATCGGAGTGGCGCACCATCCCCTACCCACTGAGCTCGGATCTCCAACGAAGGCGTACACACTGGCCCGAGGTTAGGAGGTGGGGTTCTTCGTCGAATTCAGATGGAGGCCTCGCCGACGCTTGCTCCGCTGCGGAGCTATCCCTTGGTAGGCCCGATCCAGGTTCGATGCTTATGGGCACGCTGGCACCGCAAACCGTGCAGCACAAAGCATGCGGAACCCTTTCCGAACCCAGTTCGGCGGCTTGCATAACCCCAAGCTCCTGGAGCAGTGAGGGTTGCATATGGCAGGGCTCGGCCCCTCCGCGCGATCCTGCGCCTGGGCTTCAGCAGAGTACAGGGCGTCGGGCAATACTACACGGCATCCCAGACGCTTAAGGGAAGCCCAGCGGGCACTCCAATATCGGCTTCGTGTCCCATATAGTTCAAGGTCTAAGGACACGTCGCCGTACCTCCGATACCACTAGCACTAGGACGTGCAGTCTACCTGGTCTACCTTGCCACGCTGCATACAGCTCAACTCTCCTCTCGCAGGCGTCGACGAAACAGTGCTGCTCCTCAGGGACCTTCCACAGACAAGCCCTTTTTTGGCGCCCATTCGGCCGCCATTCTACAACACCGGAGCTTCGAACGATTATCCAACAGACTGGCTTCCACCATCGCCCGATGAGCCTTCACGTTCTCGGCAGTGGCCGACCTTCCATGACCTACCTACTTCCGCCCACCAGAGCATCCGCGTGTGGCGCCGCTCACTACGGGGTTCTTGCAGGTCCAGCGCCCTGGCCATTCGTGATGCAGGTCGCGGGCCCTGCTCAAGCACTGACAATTTCAAGAGACTCCTGAAGTACCCCGTCCGTGGGGCACTGAACATTTCGCGATCATATGGAAAGCGTAGTCTTTCCCATCCCGAGCCCACTGGTCAGCCCTCTCACCCGCGAGGCACCACCCCAGACACAAGCGGCGATTTGACCCGCTGGGTCCACGTGCACTGCCGCTCAGCCCGCTCGCATGGGCAATGCTTGATGCAGGAGGCGGCGTCGACAACAGTTTGCCCTCCCCAGTATCATCTAAGCATGGACCCCACGAACCGAACCTCCGCATAATCAAGATGCCCGAAGCAGCGCTCGGGGGATGGAATATGACATCGTGCGAGCAACTCGGCTTCGTCTTCACCCTTGGCCACCCTCCAGGCAGCCTTGTCGAGATCAGCTTGCATATCCGTACGCCTGAAAGCTGCGGAGCAGGAGCAGTCATACTTCCGATGGAAAAAGGGTTCCGCAACTCACGTATCTCTTACACTTGTACGGGACAGCTCCGCCGTGCGAGCTGCGCACCAGGCTCCGCTCGTGCCTCCAGGGACCCGAAGCGACGGCGACGATGTGGCGGAGGAAGATGAGAACAAGCAGGATGCCATAGGGTATTGTAGGCTTCTGCGGGGCATCTATGTAAGGGGCCTTCTTCTCCTCCTCCTCCTCTTCTTTTGGTTTCTCTTCTCTTCTCGTTTCGTATCTTCTCTTCTCTTCTCTTCCCTTCCCTCCTCTTCTCGTCTTGTCTCTTCTCTGCTCTTATGCCATCTCCTTATATTATCTCCTCTACTCTCACCTCATCTTATCTTTGTTTCCTCTTTTCTTTTCCCTTTTCTCTTATCTTATCTTCCCTTATCGTCTCGTCTCTTCTCCTCTTTTCCCTTGTCTTACCATATGTTCCCTTCTCATATTATAGTATCTTCTCTTATCTGATCGTTTCGTTTATTTTCTGTTCGTCCCGTCTCGTCTCGTCTCTTCTCTCCTCTTCTCTTCTCTGCTCTGCTCTGCTCTGCCCTTCCCTTCCCTTCTCTTCTCTTCTCTTCTCTCCTCTCCTCTCCTCTCCTCTCCTCTCCTCTCTTCTCTTCTTTTCTCTCCTCTCCCCTCCTCTCCTCCTCCTTTTTCCTCTCCTCATTCCGACTTTCCTATTCTTCACCCTCCCTCCGTCTCCTGAGCGCCTTCTTCTCCTCCCACTCCTCTCTTCGCTGTGTCACCGCCTTATCCCCGTTGGGCTTCCCGACGCCACCTGAATATTTTGACGCCATCCCACGCCTGCTACAATCTCACTGCCATGGCCCCCCTCCTCCTCCAGAGAAGGAGGAGGAGAAGGAGGAGAAGGAGGAGGAGAAGGAGGAGGAGGGCGGAGAGCAGTAGGAGGGGAAGGAGGAGGACAAGGAGGAGGATGAGGAAGAGGAGGAGGAGGAGGAAGCTGAGGAGCAAGAGGAGGAGGATGAGGAGGAGGAACACACGCACACACAGCTCTCTGTGTATATCTAACTGATTTGTCGCTTCGCGCCATTGGTCTTCGAAGCTTGACATGCATGCGGAAGTACGGGAAGGTAAAACTGACAACTTGGCGATAACTCGTTGTTGCCTTCTCCAGTATCGTCGATCTGATGATGCTATTCGCCGTTATTCCCTCGTACTTCTTGTATCTCTTCCGCAGTCTTGCCCTACTCTGCGAATTGATTTTTCCCCATCCCCCTTAGCTCTTTTTGCGGAGGCTCCTCCATAGAGAGCTTCTTGAGAACCTGACAGAAGTTTTTAATGGCTTCTTGGGGGCTTCTGGAGGTCTCTTGGGCTGCTTCTTCTAGAGGCCTCTGGGGGCTTCCTCTGGCCACCCCGCTTCCAACTGCGGTCTCCCTGAACGACGGGGTCACGATTTGGAATTGTTCGGTGGGGCATCTTGGGGCCATCTTGGGCCATCAAGGGGCTCTCCTCGGGCAATCTTGGGACCCTGTTGGGCCATCTTGGGGCTCCCTTGGACTGTCTGGAAGCACTCTCGGGTAGTTTTGGGGCGATGTTCGGGCTTCCTGGGCGGTATCAGACGCTTGGAAAAACAAAGAGCAGAGAATTTTCAAAATCATGCGAGAACCCATCAGAAATTGATGTTCTTCCTGTGTCGAAGGCCTCGTAGAGGTCTTCTTTGGGTCGTCTGGTGGGCGTCTGGCGGGTGCCTGGGGCCTCTTGGGGCCCTCGGGGCGCCGTTCAACCGCTCTCGTGACCGATTTGGGCCCGTTGCCTAATTGTGCCCAGCAGGGGCTTCCATGAGCTCCGGAAATACCGGGGGCCTTCGGCAGGGGCGCCCATGGGGCCCCTGGGGCTACGGATCCGAGTGTCCCGGCGGATTTTTTGCGGGGTTCCCTCCCCCCCCCGTCAATTTGCAATAATATCAAAAAAAGTAATGTATATATATATATATAAGTATATATATGAGAAAAGAGAGAGAGAGAGAGAGAGAGAGAGAGAGAGAGAGAGAAAAAGAGAGAGAGAGAGAGAGAGATCTTTTGCACACGCACACACACATATATATATGTATATATACACAGAGAGAGAGGGAGAGATAGATGGAGAGGGAGAAAGAAAACAACAGCGCGCCGCAGAAAGCAAAGGGGCTCCCCGCCCAGATTGCGGCCGCAGCCGCGCCCGCGGGGTGCCTGGACTCCACCTGCGGAGCCCAGGACACCCCAACCGTGTCGTCGGGCTCACACATGCCCAAGAGCCACACCATGTGCAGGGAGGGGGGTGGGGGTAAGGGCTGGCCGGCGCGCGAAGCGGCTAGGCCCTCACCCTTTCCCGCGCGATGCCCTCGCTCAAAATCCAGCCTGAGGGGATTCAGGGGGGGGTCCGGGAGAAAACCTTCCGAGCGCTCCCCAAACCCTCCTGCAGGGAGTTTGCGAGAAGGGGCTCTGGGCAGCAACCTCCCCAAGCTCCCACGAAGCACCCTTAGGGGGAGTCCTGTGCTCCGGAGGCGCCGTCGCCTGGGGACCCGCGCTCGAGGCGCCCGAGCGCCAGCACCCGCGCGTCGAACTCTCCGCGGGGTCACGGCCCACGGCTCGGCGCCTGCAGGCCCGCATCGCTCCAACCCGTGGCGCGCGGAGGGCGGTGACTCGCTCGCGCAGCAGGCGCCGCCACCACGGCTGAGGGCGCTGGCCGCACCGCGAGGTCGGCCCAACCGTCATCCTCTAGCTCCGCACCGCCACCGACTCCGACCACCGCGGTGTCGAGGTCGTCCGCGCGCATCTCCCTGCGCTCCGCCTCCGGGTCAACGAGATCGAGCCCGAGCCCGACGCAGCCGCCGCGCCGAGGAGGCCCGCCAGGCGCAGCATCCGCCGTGGGAGCACCAGGCGGAGAACCTCATCATCGTCGGAACCATCCCTACCCCCACTGGGACAGGGTAAGTAGGCTCTCCCAGCGCTCCGAAACCCGAAGGAGACGGTACCCATCACCACTTGAGAGGGGTAGATTGCCCAGTGGGGCCAAGGTTTCCCCGGTCCATGGCCCTCGCCTGCGCAGAGGCCCGCGGCGGCGTGCGGCGACCACTAGGCTGCCGCGGGTCGCCTCCAGGGCCCCGCGGCGCGTCGCACGCAGCGGCATGGTGGGCACTGAGCGGCGAGGGCCGCCCAGCGAAGCGAGCCAGAGACAACGTGGAGGAAGAGGAGGAGGAGGAGGAGGAGGAGGAGGAGGAGGAGGAGGAGGAGGAGGAGAGGCCGAGGAGGAGGAGGAGGAGGAGGCGGCGGAGGCGGAGGCGGAGGTGGAGGAGGAGGCGGAGGAGGAGGCGGAGGAGGAGGAGGAGGAGGAGGAGGAGGAGGAGAAGGAAGAAGAGGAGGAGGAGGAGGAGGGAGAGGGGGAGGACGACGACGCGGCCTCTGTTTCCCATCCCCCTTTCCCCCGCCTTCTCTCTCTCTCTCTTTCTCTCGTTCTGCCCGCCTCGCGCTGGGGCCCGCGGGGTGCTCAGGCAGCCGGCGACCCCAGAGGCTTGGCCGCCGGTTGATCGCCTCCAGGCCCAGCCGCGGAGAGGGAAGAGGAGGGGTAGGAGGGGGAGCAGATATCATGAACATAGAATTTGTTGTTGTTGTTGTTGTTGATGTTGATGTTGATGCTGATGCTGATGCTGATGACGATGACGACGGCGATAATGATGAAGGTGATACTGATGATGATGCTGCTGCTGATGATTATTATGATGCTGATGTTGATGCTGGTGATGATGATGCTGATGATGATGCTGTTGTTGTTGATGATGATGCTGATGATGATGATGCTGATACTGATGCTGCTGCTGATGATGATAACGATCCTGATGCTGACGATGACGATGGCGATGGCCACGATGCTGCTGATAATGCTGCTGATGGTAATGGTGCTGCTGCTGCTGATGATGATGATTCTGACGTTGAGGACGGCGATGGTGATGATGATGCTGATGATGATGATGATCATGATTGTGATGCTGGTGATGATGTTGATGATACCGATGATGATGTTGATGATGATGGCCATGTTGATGGTGCACATGACCATGATGGTGTTGATGATGCTGATGATTGTGATGATGCTGCTGACGATGATGATTATCATGATGACGCCAATGATGATGCGAAGGCTGACGAAGATGATATTGAGGATTTGTATGATGATGGTTCTACTGTTAGTCATGGTGTTGATACTGGTTATGCTGTTTGTGAGGATGTCGGTGACGATTACGATGACGATGCTGATGATGTTGATGCCGATGATCATGATGATGTTGATGCTGATGATGCTGCTGCTGCTGATGATAGTGGTGCTGTTGTTGAGGGGAATGTTACCAATCATCATGTTGTTGGTGAGGACGCTGGTGACACTTTCGCCGACGATCTGGCTGATGCGGGTAGCGACGATGGTGACGCGGATGCTGCCTACGATGACGGCTACGGCAGCAATGACGATGAGCCTGAGAAGATCGGGACGATGCTGGTGAAGATGATAGTGATGACGGTATTTGCGAAGGTGATGGCGACGATGATCATGTTGGCCGATGACGTTGTTGAAGATTGTGATGGCTATGACGATGACGATGCCGACGAAGACGATGTTGATGGCGGCGGCTGTGGTGATGAGGACGCTGATGATGAGGGTGGTGGCCGTGGTAAAGATGATGGCAATGCCTGTGATGACGATGGCGAGGATGCTGCTGCTGATGCTGATGATGATGATGATGATACTGATGCTGATGATGATGCTGACGATGATGAGCATGATGCTGACGATTATAGTCGTGCTAAGCATGCACATGATGATGACGCCGACGTTGTGAATGATGACGTTGTTGTTGCTGAGGTTGATGTTGATGCTGTTGTTTAGTGTGATGATGATATCGATGGTGCTGGTGTTGTTGGTGGTGAGGATGATGATCTGTGATGGCGATGATGACGGTGCTGATGATGCGGATGATGATGCTGATGATGACGACGACGACGATGGTAATGACGATGACGATGACGAGGATGATGATGACGACAACGATGACGATGGTGTCGATGATGATGATGATGACAATACTGATGCCGATGCTGATGCTGATGCCGATGTTGATGCTGATGATGCTGACAATGATGATGCGGATGATGATGATGCCACTGCTGATGATGATGGCGATGACGATGTCGATGACAATGATGATGTTGATGATGATGATGTTGATGATGAGGATGATGATGCTGATGATGATGCTGCTGATGATGATGATGATGATGATGATGATGACGAGGATGATGGAGATGATGATGAGGATGATGATGCTGATGATGAGGATGATGCTGCTGCTGATGATGATGATGATGATGACGACGATGCGCACCAGGATGGGGTGGGAGGAAGTGCAGAAGGAGGAGGAGGAAGGGGAGGAGGGGGGAGGGAGATGGGGGGGTGATGGGGACAACGGGGAAGATAGGGATTGTGCTGCAGCGGCCAAGACAAGCATCGCCTCTCTCGTGGCGGAGGAGGGAGAGGGGGATGGTGGAGGAGTAGTAGGGTGGGCAGGCAATGGAGCAGTGTCTCTCCTCGCCCTCTCCTTTTGCCCCCCTCAAAGCCGATCCCCAGACTTCTCCGGAAGCGCGCTTCATAGGGGAGGCATCTCGATCACAAGCGAGCGCCTGCCACCCTTGCTTCCAGCATCCGAGTTCACATGCTCGCCTGGAATCCCATAATGAAGGGAGTAGCGTGCAAGTCTGCAAGGAATGGAGGCATTCCTCGGACTGCGAAGCCCTGCCGCTGTCAAGCATGTCTCAGTTGAATCGGTCTCCTCTTCGCGGCCGCCCTCCTCTTCTCCCGCCTTCCTGGTGCTAAGTTGCAGTCTCGCCACCTGGCCTGGGCCCCAACTCGCTGAGCGACCGCCAGCGCCTCGAGAGAAAGACAGTGTTTAGAGCCTCTTGGCATGCCTTCATTGGGTCAGCGCTGCGATCACGAAGCTGGCCACCAAGCTTGCTCGCCGACCGTCTAGCCTGCCAGCGTGCTCTGCCATGACGTTTCAATTCTTTCCAGGCTCGCGCAGCAGCCCCGTGTGACTGGGCCCGCTGCCGGGTTCCCCCACTTCTCCCTGGGCCTGCCACGCCTTGATTCGAAAGTCCGCTAACTGTCCGCCCAGAGGCCTCAAGAGCCTCTGGGGGCGTCCAGAAGTTCTCCCGAGGTTGCTGAAGGCCTCGACCGTCGATCCCTCCTCCTCCTCGCTAGGCCTCGATCCTCGATCCTCCGCGTGGTTGGTGTTGCCGCCGTAGTGTCGTAGCTTCGTCGCGGGCGGCGCTTCCCCGTCTGCTTGTGGTTGGTCCCCTTCCCCTCCCCTTCCTCTTCCTCTTCGCCTCGCCTCCCCTGCCAGGAGGAGGGGATGTGGCCCTCCGGGGCACCACGACCCCTTGGCTCAAACCCCCCTGCTGTCGATGTCCGCGACCTTGCGGTCCAGCGCCGCGCGGAGGACAGCTGGGCTCCACTCGGAGGCCCCCCCCAGGGCCTGGCGGAGGAGTAGAGATGTGGCCGGCGCGGCAGCTCGAGCTCCCGGGATGCGCGGGCGGCTTTCCGGCGCGCGCCGCGACGCGCTCGCGCACCGCGCTTGGCGCTAGGGTGTCCACCGCGACGTCCACTCGCTACGGCGACGCGGGTGAGTTACGCCCCCGTGGATCAGCCCGAGCGCCCCTACCCGCAGGGCTGGCAAACGCAGCCATCACTTCAGCAGAGCAGAGGGCCCGAAAGCCACTCGCCAGGGAGAAGGGACCCGGGCGACACTTGTGCAGTCCACCGTCTGGAGACGGCCCCGCATGCAACGCTCCCTCGCTCTTTCCGCGTCCGAGGAGGCACAGGGCGACGATGCCTCTGGAGGCAGGGGGGCGCCAGGACCCTGCCTCAGGCGCCAGGCCGCTTACCGCGCGTGTTACGTGGGGGCTCGACCACGCGGAACGTAGCTCAGCTCCTACCGTCACTCCCGCTGCTGTTAGCCACGCGGCTGACGCTAGCTGCGCCCCCAACGCCATCGGCCTGAGAGAGGACCTGCGCGGGGCTGGAGGAGGAGTCGAGGATCGGGCCCCTGAGTGGGCTAGTGCCGGCGCCGCAGTTCCACGGGCTGGACAGCGCTGCCGCGCGCCCTGCCAGCGGGCCGTTGCCCCGCCACGCCAGGGTGAAGGCGCGCGGGCGACTTCAGTGCACATTACCGATTGGAGACGAGCCGTCGCGCAACGCCTCACTGTTGCCAGTCAATTAGCTGAGCTCGGTCGCGAAACAGCCTTCGCCACCATAACCAAGAAGCGACGGAGGGCCAATGCCAGTGACGACGACCTGAGGCCTTGACAAGGTAGCAGTCTCCAGACACACCATGGTAGACCAATCGAGCGACGCAACATGACCATCATTTGCGCTTTACGTGCTGCCATGCAAGCCGGCCGCACCAGGGATACCGTTACGGATGAACCTGGCCCGTCGACCTTATGGTCCCACGCTTTTGCGTCATCCTGGGCACCAGTCCTCATTGCCTAGCCGTCGCGTACCACTAGGTAAGCGACGACCTCATCCGAGATCCTCACAACGATCACGGCACTCCCGATGATCCCATCGAGGATATGGAACGACTTTCATCAGGCCTTCCGATCGCTTGCTCACATCGGGGCCTTACCCAGGAAGCCTCCAGGCGCGCTGCGATGCTCACCACTAGCACACT